CTCAGTCTCATTATCTTGAGAAAATGTTGAAAAGGTTAATTGTTTTGATGTAGCACCTGTGAGAACTCCTTATGATCCTAGCGTACACTTGAAAAGGGATAAGGAATCTAGTATTTCTCAAACTAAGTATGCTAAGATAATTGGTAGTGTAATGTTTCTCATGAATTATACACGACCTGATATTGCTTATACTGTTAGTAGATTGAGTAGATATACTCACAACTCTAGTAGTAAACACTGGAATGCTCTTCATTGTTTGCTAAGATATTTGAGAGGTACTATGGATTGGTGTTTGCATTTTAATAAATTTCATGCTGTTTTAGAAGGATTTTGTGATGCAAACTAGGTTATTGACAATGATGAAGTTAGCTCCACCAGTGGCTACGTGTTTACTTTGGGTGCATGTGCTATTTTATGGAAGTCTTCAAAACAAACTTGTATAGCACAATCTACTATGGAGTCTGAATTCATTGCTCTTGAGTTGGCAGGGAAAGAAGCCGAGTGGTTGAGAAACTTGGCAGACGTGCCTTTGTGGGGAAGACAAGCTTCACTAGTTTCTCTACATTGTGACTCACAAGCGGCAATTGGAATTGCTAAAAATAGTATGTACAATGGAAAAAGAAGACATATCCGCATTAGGCATGGTGCGGTAAAACAATTATTGAAATATGGTGTTATTTTCTTGGAATATGTAAGATTCGAAAGAAATTTGACGGGTCCTTTAACCAAGGGTTTGGCAAGGAGAGTTATCCTTGAAACGTCGAGGGGGATGGGGCTAAAGCCCATGGATTAAGGAAGTATGGTGGATACCTGTTTGTGGTCAAACGAATCCATATGAGACCTTAATATGCACTACATTTCCTATCCCTATGACGTGTGGTAGTGCTTTATAAGGTTGAACTTATTTTGCTCTTAATGATTCCATAGCCTTAAGGTAGTCTATGTGTAGATAGACTTGATGGAATCACCTATGTGAGTGTAAAAGTGTGGTCGCCTTTTATGAAAGACTTGGGATGTCTTTCTAGAGCACTCATGAGACCCAAGGTACGTGCATGACCATAAAAGCACTTTGTTAGTATCACAGAGTTTGCATAAAATTAAGGATATAGTATGTGTTGTGGGAGTCTCAATTAATGTCCATTCAGTTCAAGAGTACTTCACTTTGTGGATATTAGTTGTTGCCTCATTTCACTACGTGTCAATTCAAATCGAAAGATATTGACACTTAAGTACATGTTCCTTCTTTTGCCTGAAATTGTTCTATTCTTGTCTTTGCATTAGTGGGGGATTGTTGGTATTATTTATAATGCAAAGTCAAAGATTTCTTTTTGCAAATCCATTTACAACCAATAGCCATGAGTCTTTTTGTTTTACTAGTATCCTACCTATTTCCAAGTAGCTAAATACTCTTAGATAATTGGTACATGGCAAGAGTTTTTACATGTGGCATTGATTTAAAGCCAAGTGTTGAATGACTTTGATAAGTGGCAATGCAAATCTACCATGTGTCTTCATGCATGGAAGACTAGGTACACTTGTCAAATTGACTAATATATTTGGACAAGTGTTAAAAAACTCTTCACACTTGTCATACATACAACCTCCCTAATTGCCTATAAATAGGATGGTCATTAGCCATCATATTCACCCAATTCTTAACCAATAATTCATCTTGCCAATCATTACTTTCTTCCTACAATATTTTAATTTCTGTAACAGCTACAGAAAATACCTTCATCTTCTCTTCTTTCTGGATAACTGTTTTGTGCAAATTCTAAACTTCCAGCCACGAGTGCATGTGTTTGGAGGTGATGTGGAACCTTGGGGAACGACCGGTCTTAACGATTTGCACCCAGTCGGACCGAAATCGCTTACAAGGCAGTGGCTTGCCACGACACAATATTTTTGATAAATTGTACTCTTCTTTTCTTCTTGTTCTTAGTCAATATTATCTACTCATTTTCCTTACAATTAATTCCCAGTAACACGAAGCAATTCAATGTTTTTTCCCCAAGACAATTTACTGTAGTTATGTTGAATTTATTCATACAACGACGAATTTATTTTAATACTCCAATTTATAAGCATCAGCTCTTTACAAGTTACTTTTCAAATTCTTTAAAGGAATAGAACAATCGTTCTTGTTTTTTAATTTCGAAAACCTACACTCCTTACATGTGTTCTTATTTCGTTCAATTTAAAGACAAAAAGCTGCTATTCCTATATTTTTCTACTTAATTGACATTTACCTGGCCTCTTTGGAAGTGTCTTATTACTTTTCCGGAGAAAATCAAAGATTCATTGACATCAATTGATACGATATGATTAAAAAAAAAACAGAAAAAAGACATGGAAGATATTAGAATAACTATTATCCTATTAGAGACTTGTGTTAGGACTTAGGATGTATCTCTTTTTTAACACTGCTTTCATTTTTTGGCTTTTTAACCAAAGTGCTCCGCTTTAATTTTAGTAACAGGGCAAACCTACTTGTTATGTGCCTGTATTACTTTTTGTAGATATTAATCTACTTTTTCATGTTGGGAGTTGAATAACTTATCTAGAAATTTGTGAGTTTTAATTTCTTTTTTCCGCGCTTAGAATATAGGATACTATTTGTAGTGTATTTAATTAGTTCCTCTAGTTTGGGAGAGGGCATTCTTGACCAATAATTTGGTTACCATTCATTTCTAGGTCAAAAAATTAGTCCACGTTGTTTCCTATTGATAATAACGTCTCTCTCGAAGTTGTTTGGACGCTTACATCTCATGCAAATTTTAGTGTATATTTATTACTATTAGTATTACTTAAAACATATCCAACAGGCGGCTTGATTATTTAAGATAATAATGGATTTAAAAAACTAACTTGTCGTTTTGCGATCCAGCATGTTTGATCTTCATATCTTCACCACGTTCAAAATTCTTGTGCGTCTGGAAATATTAGAATTTTGGAATATTAAAAAATACAAGAGACGCTCACTTATTGCATGCGAGTTCAAAAGTTATATTAAGCAAATGTTTTGGTCAATTATAGCGTGTTTACTTCACCTCTCTGTCATTTCATGAATTTGTTGAAGTTTAACCCGAAAAAGTCAGCTGATTATCATCAGCAAAATAAAGGACCTATCCATTTTACTTACATTATTTACTTTTTAAGCCTTATCTAGCGATTATTTCATCACTTAGAGGGTAAGCAAATCAAACTGTAGAACGTTTGTAACTTAGGAATCAGTATTTAATGCATAGAATGGTTCTAGTCTAAATAAAAATAAAAATAAAAATAAAAGGAAAGAGAATGACATCTGAACTAGATTCTAATCTCAAAGCAAAAGAAATGTATATGGCGTTTTACTAATTTCACAACATCACATTAATTAAGTCTTTTAAGTGAATTTATTTATATGAATACATCAGAAACGAATAGGAAATGAGCCAAATGCAAAGGCAAAGGACTTTGTAAACCTAACTTATCCTAAATTACTAACACACACACACATGCCTTTCCGTTTTACATCAATAATTCTTTTCTAGGCAGCACCTCAAAATGATCTAATAAGGCTTGTATCGTACATAATAGAAATGCTTATCAATTTATAATTAGTACCGGATGTTTGCACTAAAATAAATAATTTATAATTAACCTTAAGAATCAATGACTAAAATGAAAATATATGAATTAACTTTTCTCCACGTCAATGCATCAACATAAATACTATGGAACGCAAATAAAATATTCTTAATATTCCCTCCGTTTTAATTTGTTTGGAACTTTTGTGAGCACAAAAGTCAAATTGACTATTTTTCGGTGTGAATTTGGACAAAGTTAAATTTAAGTTTTTGGAATAAAATTTACATATTTAGAAATAACTTTAAAAGTATAATAAGTCACAATAGTTAACAATTCAAAATATTTAAAAACTATTGCAAAGAATAAGATCAAAGAAAATCTTATTTAACTCTCAAATATTAATAAGTTCATTCTTTTTGAAAAAGGGAGAATAATTTATAAATTTGAAGGAATTTCCTTCCCCAATCAAAGATATACTATTACAAAAGGATCTAACAAAGAATATTTCCATGGAACGTAAACTTTCCAACTAAAGGTAATTATGCGGAGAAATGGCAAGTTAGAGTACTTAAAGAGAAACACGGAATAACGAAAATCCATTAAGCTTGCTCGTAAATGCCTAGATTGTATGAGATCTAGTGCAAATGCTTACATAGTACAATGGTGCCTGTTTGGCCAAAAGGTCATCGAAACTAGCTTTCAAATTAAATTAATAGAAACAACGAAGGGGTAAATCTTAGTTAAACATAATAAACTCCAGATCTATAAACTAATCAAAAAATAAAGCATACGATGAGATACAGGTAATCAATCTTATTGATACTTTTCATTTTGTCTCCCTTTAACAAATGGTGGAGACCACTTTACATATTCTCTTGGAGATTGCTTTGTTCTTCCTTCTACTATGAAGGTTACAGAGGAGAGGAAAGAGAGGGAGAGAGAGAGAGAGGAGCCGTGCCCCTTACAGAAGGTTTTTTCCCCATATATATAGTTATAGAATCTTTTCTATGTACTTGGTTTGATGCTCTTTCGTACTACGTCCGCCCTTGTCGTCCCCTGAACGTTGCCTTTTGACTTGATGAGTATTGTGAGTACGGAATTTGGAATAAATTATGTCGTCTTTCGTTGCCTCGCCGCTTGGACGGGATGTCGGTTGGATCAATAGTAACGGTCAGATTTTGACCAATACAGTATCCCTTAATCTTATAATATATTTTTTTCTATGAATGTGTTACAAGAGTATAATTCCTTAATAATTAATGGGTAACATATCATGACTTAGTTCTTACAATTTCAACACGTTTTCTCATCTCATTTCCATATTTGATCATCCTAGTTTTCTACTCCTACAAATACCCTCTTCCATTCATTTATCGCTTAACTAACTTCATTTCCTCTCTTCCCTCAACAATCCACTAAGTAACAATTATATGGCAGTGGCCACCACCGTGTCCGGGGCGGAGCACAACCGCATTATGTGGCGGATGAGGTTGCACTCTGCACTTCGGACCGTTGTGGCGTATAGTATAATTGGCAGCTCCACTCTTTATGGACCACCTTGGTTAAGAAAATTAGCGGCATTTCCAGCATTCTCATATGTAACAGCTACTCTCATCACTAGCGACTCGACTCTAGGGGAAACGTTGAGTGGCTCTTGGCATGCAATTCTTGCCACAGTTCAAACCATGCCGCTTTCCATGCTTGGCGTATGGATAGCAGCCAATGGGTCCGATAGGTTGTCGCCGGTCGCTTCCGCCCTGGCATTGGCGCTAACTTCTTTATTGGTAGCTCTGTTAGAGTGCACACATTTTAGGTGCAAAAAGATTGCTTTCGGGCAGCTGGTGCTTGTGTTCGCTGATGGTGTTATTCGTGGAGTGCATACGAGTGTTGTTGTACACCCTCTTCGTGTTGCATGGAGTACAGTCCTTGGAATCGTTGCTTCTCTTCTTGCTTTGTCGCTCCCTTATCCGAAGCTAGCTTACTTTGAGGTTCGGTGTTTGACTGCACTATACTTCTCTTTTATTTTACACACTAGCAGTATATATATTTTAACGTGTTGCAGAAGGTTAGAAGTTAATTACACTATTTCTTGATGTCATATTTGTGTATATGGGCGTAATGCAACTCCCTTCTTTAACGTGGAAGTTCAGAAATTGTAGGCAATTGTTGATTATTTAGTTTGATACATAACTCTCAATCTTTTGGAGTTCTTTTAGGTTCAATCACTTTCTAATGAAGCCGTAAATTAAAGAACTGGTATTTAAGCATGGCTGAAACTTGAAGCCTTATATTTTTTATTTTGTAAATCAATTCAGGTCAGAAAATTACACCAATTATATGCTGAAAACTCAAAAGAGAGAGTGGATATATATTCAAGGGCAATTATTTCCCAAGACAATCTCAATGCAGTTGAACTATTATCCAGAGCCAAGCTCCATTCTCAAACAGGAGCCAAGCTTTTCCACAGCACCAAAGTTTTGAAGGTAACAAAACTTCTTGGACCAATATGGAGTATGTATCTTTTGATATATAGTATCTCACTAGGTTACATATTCAATCTCCAATTAAAGTGACAATTTGTCCTCAAAAGTATAGAAATCCCCTCTAAAATACCTGTAATTCATTATTTTATGCTTCTTTTTGCAGGGAGGTCTAATGTGGGAAACACCTTGGCTGCGATTTTTCAAATATTGTTCCGATGTTCCAGGAGACAATGAACTCCAAAACATGGAAATAACAATAAGAGGAATGGAAATCGCCTTAACTTCATGTCCTTCATTTTCCACTGTCCTGGTGACCGAAGAGTTAAAGGGTGCCTTACAACATATGTCTGAGCAAATTTGTCGAAAATCAGAGCAAACTACTCATCAAGAAACAAAGGTAGACTTACACAATGAATCCCCTTTGATCCATAATGACACCATATCTCCGTCTCAAACAAGCCTCCCTACATTTTTCTTCCTATCTTGTGCAAAAATGCTGCTCACTAATTCATCCCCGTCACTTCTCAAAAATTCCAAACCTAATGCAGAGGTCCATCCAAAAAGATTGTGGCATAACATTTGGATGAAACGACCAAGAAAAGAAACATTGGCGTTTGCATTTAAGTGTTCTGTTTCTTTAGGCCTAGCTATGTGGCTAGGCCTACTATTTGATAAAGAAAATGGTTTTTGGGCAGGCCTAACTGTAGCCAGTAGCTTAGCACAAGGCAAAATAGCAACATTTACAATTGCTAATGCTCAAGCACAAGGAATTGCATTCGGATCAGTCTATGGAGTCCTCGGTTGCTCTATCTTCAAAAGCATCGATAACTTAAAATTCTTAGCCCTTCTCCCTTGGATCATTTTCAGCAGTTTTTTGAAAAATAGCCGGATTTATGGCCAATCGGTTGGAATTTCAGCATTATTAGGAGCGGTCATGATCTTAGGACGAGAAAACTACGGCCCTCCTAATGACTTTGCCATCATAAGACTAACAGAAACTTTTATTGGATTGTCTTGTTTCACTATGGTACAGTTCTTATTCAATCCGAAACGAGCGGCTAATCTTGCAAAGAATCAATTACATTTCACAATGGATATTCTCAAAGATTGCATGAACCAAATAGAGCAGCCAGAAGTGCTGGGATTAATGGAAAAACAGAGGAAATTAAAATCCCATATCCTGGATTTACAAAAGAAATCTCATAATGCAGAAGTAGAGCCTGATTTTTGGTTTCTTCCTTTTAATGCAACATGCTACAAGAAGCTCCAAGGTTCTTTATCAAAAATAGCCGATTTATTTTACTTCATGATCTACAATATCAACAGTATGTCACAAGATTTCCAAAGCTGTGGTGTTGATAATCGGAAAGAGCTACAAGAATGTATAAATGATGAATTGGAGCATTTGAAGGAAACTACAAATTCCTCACTAACTTTTCTTGACAATAAGCCCAGTTTGATCAAGTTGTTCCCAGATGATGATCAAGAGGAGAAAAGAACTAATGATCTTGAGGAGGGGAAATTACCAACATACCCCAAGTCAAGTAATTTGACTAAACACAATGATTCAAAAGGAGAAAGAGGATTAAGTTTTTTTCTTGAGAGATCAAAAAAAGTGATTGATCGAATATTGAGTAGCCAAGAAAAGGAGGAGCAAAAAGGAAAGTTAATTGTTTCATTGTATGCATTGGGATTTTGTATAAGCAGTATGTTGAAAGAGATCAAAGATATTAAAATGGCTATGAAGGAATTATCACACTGGGAAAGTCCTTAAAACCCAAAAGAACTTGAGTACTAAAGTGCTGGAAATTTCTCAAAGTATTCAAGCATAGCAGCAAAATTATATTAGATTTTTTATGTATAGGTATCCTAAGCAGAAAGTTTGGATATAATTTTGATTGAAAGGTAGAGAAAACATTATAAGATTCATTTGTATAGTCAACTTTTTTTATATAGCAGAATAATCAAGCCACATAGGCTAAATTACATTGACTTTTCTCTTACTTCATCTTGCGTTCACTTGCCAAATTTTTTGCTACTCTAAAGCAAACGCCTTGTTTAGCAAATATATATTACTCTGACGACTGACAGTACAGAAGAGCTGTTTAAGATAACACTGTATCTTTTTTGTCATTATAAACTAGTTTTACTTGTGTTCCCATATTTTTAACCCCTACCTTGTTTGTCATATTTACCCTCCTTTTTTCAATATTCCATTATTTTAGCAAGCAATAAATAAATAAATTTTGATTTCTTTGAAATATATCATGCGTGAACGATTTTGGAAAGATATCCGAAAGATATGAATCCCCAGCATTCCGAAGAAGACTCTTTTTTTATTTTATTATTAATCTATCTATATCTATATAAAAGAGGGAATGGAAGAGGTGACTTGGCAACTCTCTTTGGCCAAGAAATCCATTTATCTTTTTTCTCCTTTTTTGTGTCTTTTTTCCTATTTTTTCCTCATATTGTAAGAATAAAACTACTCAATTAAAGGTCATCATCAACATTTTCGTTGTATGAAACAGTTCAGTAATTAAAGGAACGGTGCATTATTACTCAATTAAAGGGGATCGATGCCATTTTATTGTATGAAAGTATGAAACGGTGCATTACCTAATTAAGGACCGGTGCGTTACTCAATTAAAAAAGTTGTCACTCCATTGGACGAAATGGTGCATAATTAAAGAAGATTAAATTCATTTGATATGAAACGGTGTAGTTTTTCCTTTCATTTGTCTCATAATATAATATAAATGACTGAAAATAATATTCCTCACAAGCTACATCAGGTCACGTTAATCATGAAGTGGGGTTAAGCTACCTGCTTTGTATATATTGTGATATCTACTCGTGGATAATGCAAAAAATTCTAAACAAGAAATCAGGTATGTCTTTGTTATATGTTTGCAATGTCGAGTAAAGCTGAGCATAGACAATGTGATATGACAACTTGATCTCTATGGCCATCAAATGTGTCAATTCTCTCATCAACTATGTTGTAGTCAACTAAAATAATGAAGAGTCATACCATGGGCAGCATTACCCAACAAATGAAGAGCAGTGAAGACATAGAAGAACTTGCACAAATGAAAATAATGAAGAGCCATAATATGGAGTCATCTTGCAACATAAGAGTAGCATTAAATTTACAGTTTTCGTTGTGGCAATCGCAGGATTATGCCTCCAGTGATCAAGCATCTACTGCTAGATATAAGACAGACGGTTAGCACGGCGTTCAAACAAGTTTTATAATTTGAAGCTATCATTGTTTTACTATGGTTGCAAATAAGTTTCTTGCTATTTTGTTTAGCTATGCATTTTGCATGTTATTTTTTAGCAGTCAAAGTACGACAATTGCAGTTAATATGAGCCTTTAGCAACTGGAATTGAGAAGGTGATTCGACAATTGACATTGACATTAATTGTATGCTCTAACTGTAATAGCTTTAGATGTTGAACAGAGAATTGAAAAGTACGTCATAATAATTGTGTAGGTAACATAGTAAATCTTAAAGCCTATATTAGATGGATTTTGGTCTTCTAATATTTAATTCTATCTTATACAAAATACAATGCTTTTAATAGCATACCAGTACGTAACATGGAAATGATGATGTCTTTTTTAAATTTAAAAAAGTATTGCGTTAGAGAATTTGATTTCTTTCTTTTCATGACAAATGGTTTATTTTTTTATTGTTCTTTTCAGGCTAATATTGCTATTGTTTGTTCTCTTATATTTCCTTAGAGGAATATTTAAAAAGAAAGGGCCTGATTAAGGATTTAAAAATGAGTCCAAATAGGAATTGGAATTAATAACTCCTTTTTTCTCTTCACTGATGGTTGTTTAATGTAATAGTTTTAGTCTTATATATGAATGAATAACATATATCTTTAATATTTTTGCTTACAAAAGATTTGCCTTATAGAGGTAAAACTATTAACCAAATGGTTGATCATGAATAAAAGAGGTGGACCGGAGATTGCATGTGTAATTGGAGCAATATGAGTAGACCATTATTTACTTTATAAAAGTAGCAAGAACATGGTGGAATATAAATTTAATAAATTTCATTTTCACGAACAGAATTTGCAATTCCCCAATTATCTATTAGTCTTCATCCAGTGGAATAGTAACAAATTATATATGCTAATTCAATAACAAGTGTTCCCAAACATTAGTACTTTTTCTCAGTAGCATAAACAACAATACCAATTGTTAATATTTAGTTGCTCATTAAGCATATATTATCTTAATTAATTATTAAAATTTATTTTCATAAATGAAGAAAGATTTTGCATGGCAACCCAAACATTCATGACTGATATTCCTAAGAAAGAGTATACGCCATAAAATTGAAGGTTCTACGCTTCCATGTATTTAAACATAGAGAAACTGAAGCTTGATTAATTAGAGAAGAACAATCAACAATGAATTCAATTATACCAAGAAACAATTGGAATATATATAAAAGATAAAATTGATCAAAGAATAAATATTATTTTATTGTTAATATAAACTATAAAAATAGTTATTTATTCATATTTAAATCGTGCGAAGCGCGGATAAATTTACTAGTGATATATTAAAGGCTTTAATAACAAGTTCCATGTGTTCCGAAATTAATTGCAAATTGCTCTGTCAAGACAGCATACCAATGATTCTTTATTTTCAATATGAGAAAGCAAACAATTCATAACATGTGTCTAAATTTTTTTTAAAAAGAAATCTGTCCCAATTTAGAAACCACTAACTCGATCGACATGTTACTTCTTAGTAGTAAGTAATAAACTTGCACATTAACCTTTACGAGAAATTGACATAAAAAGAGATGTTAATGAGGTAAAAATAAATATCACCTAATCATAATCAAGTGAGAAAAGTATATTTAGGTGTTATGTATTTATTGAATTGGCATAAACACTCAAAATTTACACGTTTCCTAGTAATAACAGTAATTAACGTCAACTAGGTTATTTTTGGAATTTGATTAGACGGTTTCTTTAACTAATAGAAACAAGAGTCATTTATCAACGAGGAATATGGTCAAGTAGTAAGTACTCCTTAACTAGAGGTCTAAGATTCGAGTCTTGATATGTAAAGAATAGCTCGGTGCACTAAGCTCCCGCTACGTGCGAGTTCGGGGTAGGGCCAGACCAGAAGGGTCTAAATCTGTATATCTATATAAAAGAGGGAATAGGCAAGCTGACGTGGCATGTCTCATATGCAAGGATTCTCATTTATCTTGATTCTCCTTTTTTGGTCTTTTTCACTCATTTTCCCCGTAAAAAAACTTTACTTCCTTTCCAGCATTAAACAAAAATTTGCAAAACGCTCAAAACGTCCATTACGAAACGTTATGTACAATGACACAGTAAATGACCATTAATTGAAACATCACACCCGTTACACTAAACGACACATTGGTAAGCTTTCAAATATCATTTTGTACATAAGTATAGCATCCCTTCACATTCTATGGATTGCTAAAAAACATAACCTCATTGCGTGGTCCTATTTATATCTCGCTGTCGTCGGAATAGGATCCAAAACTGACAGTAAATTTTCCACCGTGACAATAAAAATCACAAATACCAGAGGAATTGGTGATATAGAAGATCGCCGTAATTTTCTTTTTGATTTTCATGATACTCTCCTTTTATTCCTTTTTACTTCCTTTAGTTATATTTTAGTAATATTCAACATTGCTCTTAGTATTATACAGGACATGTTGCGAGAAAGATCAAACAACCTATACAATTTTTATTTGCACCGTTGACAATTGCTACGGTACGGTTACACTAGTATTCTCTTTCATGTTCTTTATCTGTCAGAATGTACTCATTTATTTTTATATAGGAAGACATAATGAATATTACCAAAAATTAAACAAAATTTGGTATTAAGTAGCTATTTAATTGATATATGAACTTACTGGAACTCCCGAAGCATCACAATATCGTTACATTTGTTTGTATATGTGACATTAATACTAATACTAATTCCAAAATTATCAGCATGTTGAATCCTTGTTTAGAAAATTGCATTAGTTGCACCAACAATCCTTTGCCATAAAATCAGCGCACTCCTTCTCAATTGGACCAATGATAGCAGAACCTTTCATTTTTCCCTTGGGATTCACAATAACACTGACATTATTTTCCAAGTACATGAAGACACCATCCTTTCGTCGCCAAGGTTTACGTTGTCTAACAATGACAGCAGACATGCCTTTCTTCCTTAAACCAGGCTTCCCTTTCTTGACAGTAGCCATCACTATATACCTACAGAATCTATTATTCTCTTATATATCAGTATAATGTACATTCATTAATTTGATAGGGAATTCTAATCTATGCAGGTTGTTACGATGGATCCCGCCAGGGTAATGGTATTTTGTTACATTTAGTTAAAGTAGTTGAATTGATTTTTTTAATAAGGCACCTACTAGATATAACAGGATGCAGGAATATTTTTCCTTTTCTAGAAACATTGAATATAATAGATCCTGAGAGTCGGAAGAGTAACCTTGAGAATTAAAGAGTGGGCAATAGGAAAGTGAGGTTAGGCCAAGGAACTTATTTATCTTTTTTCTCTTTTTTGAGTTTTTTTATCATTATTATATCTTCATAACTCTCATCCCATTATCTTCATAACCCATACTTTTAATAATCTCAATAACTCTCATGTCTTTTATATCCACGACCCCCAAATATTTAATATGTAAATTTATGACAATTTATATTTATCTTTTGTCCTTTATTTGTTTT